TAAATATATAGCTTATGTATGTCTATATGATATATATATATATATTTATATTTATATAAGTGTATATATGTATTGTGTATATGTGATTGTAGTTGGTATTGCCGCCCAAATGACATCGCACGATTCAATTTGAATATCGAACTTCGGTCTGACAATTTGGTCTCGAGTAGAATCCTACCTGTTTCAATGAGACTAAGCAAGATTAACACTTTTCTGATTCATCTGTTTTGTGAATGTTGTTGTTATAGCGGCGTGTATTTATCCGTAGATAAAATATTTGTTGGCTTGAACAATGATTCATAGTCCCAGATAAATAGAAGAAATGTAGACTTATACGTATTGGCAATCGTTTGTATCGCTTACTTCGTTAGGCCAACGACAGTCTTGAGGTAGCCTTCAGTTGTTGCAGAGCTTGGTCAGTGTATATAATATTGTTTATATTTTGGTAACATACGGACACAAGTATGCCCATTATAAATGATTCTGATATTTTCTCACCCGTCCAGTTTGAGGAAAGGGTTCAGAAAATATTTCAATCATCGCAGGGATGGTCTGTGCCGCACATCTCGCACATTACTGTAGATCACCTAGTGTAGTATAAAAGTATGCCATACTTTATCAATAACTACCCCTTCCCCTTATGCCATTAGGCAGACGCCGGGGCCCCGAGACGGAATCCAACCGTCGCAGAGATGGCAAACAACGAGTTCTCGCTCCTGGATATAGCACGCCAGTACGATACAAGTGTACCTGCTGTAGTACCACAGAAACCCAAGCCGCCACCACAGGGAAACGGGGAAAGGGAAAGACAGAGCGAAAGGAGGGCACGAGATGCACGCCAATATACATCCCAGGTATGTCTTGTCGCGTCTCACCGCTCACGTAACTGTAGTTTAATATATATACCACACTACATAGAAGAATTGATTTCTCTAGGGTCATTTATAAGGTTTCCATAACCGTCCAAATCATCGCATGTGACTGTACTTTGATGTATACACCTCACCACAGAAATAACGCCCATTCTCTAAATATCAAGTACCTATATTCTTCCTAAGTCACCGCTCAGGCGACTAAACTGCAATGCGTAAATTACATTACAGAAGAAACCACCACCACCACCACCCAGAGTCAACCCACCCCCATCAGGTGTCAATCGCAGCAGCAGGCGAGTGGCGTTGAAAAATGCCCCCATATTACCCGAAGTAGAAAAAAGGTACTATTTGTCTTTCTGCAATAGATACGTATATATTTGCCATTCAGAAATTGGCTATTCTTGAGTTCTTCATCCTTCCTGAGATAGGAAAATGGGAACCATTCAAGACAATTGAGATGCACATACGATCCGTTAAAATGTTGGAGAGATATTTGATATTGTATGCTGTTGTTCGCATACGCACCTCCGTTTATTCTGAAATAAAAAGTAGAAGCTGTAAAATATAGAATATATCCTCGTATTTGCGTCTTGAATGTTGTGACGCGATTGCAACGGCGAACCTACTCTCTGAAGCATTTTGGAGTTAAAATTTACATGCCAAATTCAAACCAACGATTATAATTTCGTGTTACAAGCTGCGGCTGCCACCGCGAACCTATTGTCTTGCCACACTTTGAGTTTCAGTTTAAAGCCAGGCTTCTCATTTACATTTGCAAATTTTATTGCAGGTTACAACGGGTGAATCTATTACAGCAAACGGGTCGCGTCAGACGGGCCGCCAGAGCCGCCGCTAAGAGTGCCGAAACTGGAGAAATCACTCCAGCTGAAAAGGTGTGTGTGTGCATGCTTTACTTTCAATGGCAAATCTTAGTTGTGTAAGTGTGCCATTCATGAGCAAGAGCGGAAAAAGTGGTAATTTCAGACCGGATGAGAACGTGTGTAAGCTAATTTGTACTTAGCGACAGCTGATAGTTGTATAGTTATGAATCTGTATGGGCTGCCGCTATGAAGCACAGAAACATATGGTATGTATGTGCGATGTTGATTGTTTACCTATGGATGCAAACAGACGCTCCGATATCCCTAGGTACAATCCAATGCTCTCAGCGTTCTTTCGTGTACGCTGCAGCCAGCCCAAGGAAAACACTGCCATTGTGTATGACCATTGATTGAATCGTGGGGTACATCCCTGGGGCTTTTCAGTTTCTTTCATGCATGTTTTCAACTATCCACATCTTTAATACACTGTTTTATCGTATGCTCCCTTTGTGCAAGTACACATCGAAATTCTACACAGCAATTCATTGTAATATAACTCCAAATCTCTACACGTTTCAGCTCTTTGAAAAGAAACTGCTGTTCAAGGGATCGGCCGCCAAAGAGTCGGAGCTGCCCAGGCTTAAGATGGATGAGATAGCTTTTGTGGGTGCGTATTTGTATGGAAACGATAGATGCATGCTGTAAATGTATATGCACGCACTGATTTGTGAACACCGTGCGTGGTTTGGTGAGATCAGTGTGTCTGACCATTTATAAAATGTAGTCTATTTGCAGCGGGTGTTCGTTTGTCATGAGTAATGACAGTGTACATATTTGTTTTTCTATCTGTATACACGGTAACGTGATGAACGCGCATGGTCACATGCATACAGAACACAATGCTTCTTTAACATGTCATCGTTTTCCGCTCGTGCCTTTGTACCTGAAGCTGATCGAATATTTTACTTGAAGCTACACCAGAGTGAAGTTGAACAGACAACATTATACACGGCACTGTACCGTGTGAGATATTCAAGTCTCAAGTCCCTTTCTACTTATAGGGAGGTCGAATGTGGGCAAGTCTAGTCTGTTGAATGCCCTTGCAGGACCCCGTGGCAATCCGGCCGTAGTGGAAGACAAGCCCGGGACCACAAGATGGTACGTTCAGTCTATATAGTTCATGTGCAAGGCAAATTGAAGTGAATTTTGGTTTGGACTATTGTTGAGAAATTTTAGCTGGCGCTGCGAGATGTTTATTTATTTATAAACGCGCTGGTATGCGTTAACGTCCACTCCAAAACCTTCACCAGAAATATACGATGAGCCGAAGAAGCGCGAACGTATGATTCAATGGCGTGTATTTATTATTATTTGGATCGTCGTTGCCACTGGCACGCCAAGTACTTACTCAATGTTTCGCCAAGTACTCACTAAATAAAAGTTGTCGTTCCAAACATAGTGCCAATTTCTACGCCGTGCAGAAACAAATGTGCCTAGTGGATCTACCTGGATACGGCTTTGCATACGCCGACACAACGTCGAAAGAGCAGGTATATGGTACTTTCCAGTACGTAAAATATGCAAGACGCTGCCTGGTGTGTATGTAATTCTATCTCACCAGCTATGGCTCACTTGAACCACATGGGTAAGCTTAGCCAATGCAAATGAGACTTGCCTCCTTTTCCTAGTGTGTGTGTGTGGTTCTACGTCACGTGTGCCCGGGCACTCAGGGGGTAACCAAGTCTTGGTAAGCATGCCAAGAGAAAATTGGTAGGCGGTATAATGTGTGTGATTAAGAGGCAATGGTGTATGTTCTACTGACAGAAATGAATAACAACCCAATGGTAGGTGCGCAAGCCGTGCAATGGACCAATCATATCGGCTTCACCCACCACATCGTGAAATTATGTTAGGTACTGTTTTGGATACCCCTGCACCCAAATTCTGCTTCATACACATTCCGGATTCGGGACATTTTAGATACGTGCACATATCCAAATTAGGAACATACATTCTGTAACAATGTGGTTGGACATGGCAAAGTATTCGGAATAGGTTTAGTCATATCCGTGCACGCATCCAAATGGGCAAAAATAGATACTGCACGATACCAACCAGTCATATCGTATCATGCACGCATAGGTTAGTTTATAAGGCCATGTAGGCAATATATATAGTGTACTCTTTTTGCACCTGCACTTTCACGTGCTTTTCCGGGACTTTTCATTGTCGTCAAGGTTTGTGTATGTACACACTGTCATAGACTATAT